ATTATAATTAACTTAATCAACAAAATTACTTATATATTTATATACACATTGAAAGTGCGAAACCCAACTACATATTGATATATATATTCGTAAACTTGACCTATATCTTAATTCGTCAATATTGATCGAACATTTTAACATTATAATTAATTTTTGCTTTTGTCATATGATGATGATAATGATGATGTAATATTGTAATAGTGTACACATTGAACTAATTCACAGATGGTAGTAGTGTTTACTTCACCCTTTTGTCCATATTTTCAATTAATATGTCCAAAATGTAAGCCATTTAAAGGTGGGTAAAATTATGCAAGCCATTTATGCTTTATATGAATAGATTGAAATGTATATTTTATCAGAAGGAGTTTTGTGAAGATTTAGTATTATCATAGTTACAAGCGTGAGTCAATTGAAGCTAGACCACCTTGCGAGGCGAGGTCGTGGATGTGCACTGCCACTGAGGAGTCCCACAATAGGACGAAACAGCCATCCAGTGCTTCCAGGTTTTCCTTGGTGGTCTAGCTTCAATTGACTCATGATTTCAACTATGAAATGTATACATTTGATTTGGTGACTTAAGTAGTATGCATAGTGTACAAATGGTTAATTATGTTCAAATGATGTCGTTTTAAGACTTGAAAAACATCGTGAAAATGATTTTGGATTAACGATTAAAACCTGTTGTGCTTATAGGAAACCAAGGAATAAGTGTTCAAGTTGCTTCTAGTATTTTATTGAAACACTCTCAAGAGTTGTGACTTAAAGTGTGAGGGCTGATTTTCCCACAGCAGTCAAGCTCTCGTTACTTTCCTAGAAGATCAGCATAACAACTGGATCCAAGTATTATCCGCATTAGTGATGTTGTCGACATCAAAATCATATTGAAATAAGATACACAGATACTTATTTTTAACATTGATTGCTGTCTAGACAGAGTTTTCATATTTTTTGATCACTTGGTGTGTTACCATCACAGTCTTATAGATACTTGATCATGGCTTGGTTAAAACAGCAGTAACATCACTGGCTGCGACTCAGAGTGATTCAGGTTTGAAGCCTACAGTATGTACCATCTCTCTCAACGTCCAGGATTTGTTGCTGATTGTCTTAAACCACCTAACACTAGATGACTTCCATTCTACGTTTTTATGGTAATTTAAAGATAAGGACTAGTGAATCAACCCTATGTTTGAATCTTTTCCACCATTGATTGAACAAATAAAATAGATCTTGAGATGGTGATTTTAATAGAGTTTTATTCTCTGAGCTAGATGGTTTGGTCGTGGAGCTTTCATCGTCCTCCAGAACGATATCATCAGCAAAAACTTCGGGTACAAGTGAAGTGTGCACTTCAATGTTGATTGGTTCTTATTGACCTTAGATCTATCAGGAAAATTATGCAGAAACATAAATCAAACCAATAAGAGATACAGCCAAAACAAGGAAATAAACAATGACAGATTTAAGGTCAATAAGAACCAATCAAAATTGAGGTGCACAGGACAAGCTGTGAATCACATGTGAAGAAATTGGAAAAAAACACTTCACTTCTACTCGAAGTTTGTGCTGATGATGATGTCGTTCAGAAGGGCGATGAAAGCTCCACGACCAAACCATCCAGCTCAGAGAACAAAACTCCATCAAAAAAAAGATCTATTTAAATGAACACATGTCTTTATCCAAATGAATGAATCTAGACAATAGTATAAAGTAATTTTTACCAGGAGGAAGTAAAAAAAAGGAGACTCCTGAAGAGGTTTCACGAATTCAATCGACTTGCTGAAAGCTAAGTATTAAGGTTACAGTCATAATTTGTCAGACAATATGAAAACTATTAGACCATAACAAAGTCATTGGTTATTCTATCGAAACATTTTTTTCTGGTTAGCGTTTTTTTAACAATTTGGTTTTCTACGGGATGGGGTCGCTAACCCCCATGCCCAACCCTCGTCCTTTACCCGGGCTCGAGACCGGCAGTAGCCCCCGGAGGAGCTACAGGCGGAGTTATCGAAACAATTAGTCAGTTTAATTATTTAAGTTAATTAGCCATCTGCATGGTCATTCATTATAATAACACTGGTAACTTTTATATGGTATGATGGTAACAACCCAAGTTAACCTAGTAACATGGACATCATTTCATTGATCTATTCAATATGTTAAATTGACTTAGTAACTAATATTTATTAAATAAGGAAATGAATACAACCTGAATCATGGTAATATTGATTAAATTAACGATTTTATTCAATATTGTATCTATACACAAAAAAGAATAATGAATGATAATTTAGGTGAACTAAATGAGAAAATTTCATATACCATAACAACTAAGTGTTAAACTTGTGTTAAATAAGGTGAGTATCCAAAGTTGGTTCATAAATAAGTGAATTGAAAGATAATATACGATTGATTAGATTATGAGATGATATGTATTTGTTCATAAAATCGTTTGACTCCGTTGATCATGAAGTTCTATGGCAGTGGTTGTGTAGATCAGATATTCACTCTACGTCAGGTCCTAGAATATAGACATACATTTAGACGTCCCATATTAGTAGTATTTCTTGACCTTAAGGCTGCATTCGATTCCGTGGTTGATCGTGAGGTTCTATGGCAGTGTTTGTCAGTGAAAGAAGTACCAAAGAAGTACATTAACCTTATATAAAGGCTCTGTACTCGAACACAAAATATCATCAGAATTGATTATCTTAAGTGGTGTTCGTCAGGATTGTCCACTCTCGCCATTCTTGTTTAATTTTGTTGTTGACATGCTTTTAGAGATAACACTTTCATCATTTAAATCTCCAGGAGTTGAACTTTTACCACGTGACTCACTTGTTGGCTTAGAATACGCCAACGACATAGTTCTATTTGGTGAAGACGCTGACAAAATGCAGAGTCTTCTGACCACTATAAGCAACTATACAGGCATGTTCGGGATGCGATTCTCCTCCTCGAAGTGCAAAATGTTATTTCAGAATTGGGTTGTATCGACACCTGAACTAATGATAGGGAGTGAAGTAGTTGAGCGTGTTGACAGCTTCACTTATCTTGGGAGTCTCATCAGCCCTTGTAGTCTGGTGTGTGACGAAATCTGTGCATGGATTCAGAAATCTCGTTTGACTTTTGCTAACTTATATCACCTACGACGAAGGTGCGATATCTTTCTATCAATTAAAGAATGAGTATACTGAGCAGCAGTTTGTTCTGTTCTACTTTACGGTTGAGAAACATGGGCATTAAGAGTAAAAGATACTCGTAAGTTACTAGTATTTGACCACAGATGTCTTAAAATCAGTGTGAGTAATAGTGAGGTTAGATGCAGGGTATTAGGGAATGATGATAAATCACTTGATTAAGTTGTGAATCTTTATCGACTGAGATAGTTGGGCCACGTGTGTCTGAACATCGATTACCACAACGCACAATGGTTATTAGTATTGGGGATGGTTGGAATAGAGTTATAGGCGGCCAAAGTAAAACGTGGCATCAGAGCTTGAAGTCACTAACTTCTATTCTGAGTCATGTTTGTAGATGTAGACTACTTAGTTGGAGTCCGCGTGACTATCGTATCCAATGGTTGGTGACTGTGTGTGACATGGCTCAGAATCGATCACAATGGTGTAGGTTTATACACTCCCTGTCTTCCCTTCAAATTTTACCAACTAATTCTTTCTTCCTGTACTACATCTTTATACACAATCTTTCTTTTATATATTACTACCATTGAAGTAAATACTTCTATGAATTTAGTGTTCATGTTGTTGTGTTAACGAGGTATGTCAACTTGTGCCTTGTCCTACGTTATAGATGCCTGACTGTTGAAGTTATTGACTATTGGTTTAGATGGTCAATAAACATGTAGATTTAGTGAATAGGGTCTGTGAAATAATCTTATTCTATGATTGAAAATGTCGGTTAATATAACTGTGAAAGCAGTTACTTCGACATAGAGATATTTATTTCTTAATTCTTCTTCTAAATTGTGTGTCATTCTAATACTCTTTATTTAGTGGCAACATCTGAGAATAAGGATTAGAGTAAGGCCAGTTCAATTATCGTTTCCCTTAAGATTGTAAGTAAGCAGTGTAGGCGAGTACAGACTAGTACAAAACCTAGTACAGACATGGTCTCGTACCGACTTCTGTCATATGTGTCTGCAAGTAAGCCCACTACAGCGAGACAGGGAGTTTTTGGTTAAGTTATGTTCACTAAGCTAAACGATTTAACTGTGTAGCTTACATCATCTTTCTGAACGACGTTATCAAAAACATCATCCTACATCACTCAATATCATGAACAGACAGTAGTTAGAAAAGTAGACTATCTGATGTCAACATAATGGTATGAAAGATGAACGCTCACAAGAAGCGCTAGAGGATCTGGATTTAGTTTTTGGTAAGTTCATAGGTGGGCATATGATGAGTACTAAACTAAAACGAAACATCTATCCAGTGTATCCTGCTTTTAACTGGTTCTTTACGTAAAGTCGGTTCACTATATGAATTTACTGAAGATGCAAATATATTTATTTACTTTTCAGCAGTTCATAAGGGAATACCATTCTATTTATTATTCTCTCATCAAGAAATATAAATTCACAACACAATTGAATTTTCCAACATACTTTTTTCCCATTACTTACTTACTTACGCCTGTTACTCCCAATGGAGCATAGGCCATCGACCAGCATTCTCCAACCCACTCTATCCTGGGCCTTTCTTTTCTAGTTCTATCCAGTTTCTGTTCATTCTTCTCATGTCTGTCTCCATTTCTCGGCGTAATGTGTTCTTTGGTCTTCCTCTTCTCCTTTGGTTTTCAGGATTCCATAAGAGGGCTTGTCTTGTGACGCAGTTAGGTGATTTCCTCAATGTGTATCCTATTCACTTCCATTTGTTTTTTGAAAAAAAAATTATTCAAACCATTTTTTCCCATTATTCCTTTATTGCTTATTATGCTTCTGTAAAATCCTTTTTCTTCTTCTTCATCTTCAGGAAATATGTCCAAATCCTGAATTTATTACTGGTGGTGCATCACGATTCGATGTACGTCAAGGTGAATTAGGTAAGTGTTGTCCAATGAGAAGTTATAGATTTTTTTAAAATTCAGCATTCAACTGTTCTTATTAAATATTTACTTATTGATAAGTAGCTAGTAATTTCGTTTTCGTACCTATAAAAATTGTCGCTCTGGTTGTTAGAAGGTGCATCGGCCACATGACTTCCGAAGGAACTCTGCTTTCATCATGAGACGTCATAATTATTCCTTCTACTCCCAGGACAAAGTTTAAATGGTTTGAATAATTTTTTCTGGTTAGCGTTTTTTTAGCGAGTTGGTTTCCTACGGGATGGGGTCGCTAACTCCATGCCCAACCCTCCTCCTTTATCCGGGCTTTGGACCGGCAGTAGCCCCCGGAGGAGGTCGGCGGCCCATGCTCCAGTGGGAGTAACAGGCGTAAGTAAGTAAATAAGTAGTAATTTCGTCCTTAGTAATGCACATTATCAATATCACATTAGTCATATTCAGTATTTGAAAAAGAGCATGCAATTTGTATTCTTTTCAATATTCAATACTGGTCTGGATCCAATTCTTATTCTAATTATAGATAATGAAGTTGTTGATGACATTGAACAACTCATTTATCTTAAAATCCTAATCTATGCGGATGGAACATTTGTCATTTTTTTAGTGGGAGATCAATTGAAAGTAACAACGACTAACTAGACAAGATGTTCTGATCCACTGTTTACTGAACAATGGGTTGTATTATTTGAGGTTAGACATTAAGACTGTTGTATGCCAGCTAAATGGTCTAGATGTTAAGCGCTCTCGCGCGAGACTGATAGGTACTGGGTTGGAATCTCGCGAGGTGGGATCGTGGATCCGCACTACTGAGGGGTCCCACAATATGACCAAATGACAGTTCAGTGTATCCAGGTTTTCAATGGTGGTCTAACATCGACCAGTTTATGACCTTAATCAAAAACATAATAATCTCCATAACCCCATACTGATAATTACCATGTGCTCACTAATGAACAGCTTTGTGAGGAAATTCTCGGAATGCTAGTGAAAAGTTGTGACCAGTGGAGCTAATCTATGTCAGATAGTGACAGGTATCTACCTCAGTACAATAGAAAATGATCAAGCGATTTCGTGCTTTAGTTGACATTAAACATTAACACCATTAGATGTCGGCTCAACGGTCTAGAGGTTAAGCATTCATGCGTGAGATCAAATATCCTGTGTTTGAGAATCGCATGTAGGATCGTGAATACGCCCTGCTCATCAGTCCCATACTAGAACGAAACGGCCATTCAATGCTTTCAATAGTGGTCTAACTTAAAATTCAGTATCAAAACAATCTAATTATTCAACCATAATCAATCTATACAATCATTCTAATTACTTCATTACATATTACTTTCAATCAAAATGAACTCTTATTATAATATCAATCTTATTCATAATAATAATCAATATATTGATATCATTGAAATCAGTAATCTTTATGAATAAAAATGATTACGTAATGATGATTAAATGATTAATATGCAATCGTATCATTCATACTGTTATGATTACTCTAATCTAATCACTATACTATTCAATATAGAGAAAAAAGATTTCTTGAATGTAAACAGTTTTTTAAGTATCATTTAAAATGAATTATTTTTGATAATTGAACAGATAAGTTAATTGAAATTAGACCATCATGGAAAACTTGAAAGTAATGGACGGTTGTTTTGTCTTAGTGTAGGAATCTTCAGTTGTGCTCATCCATGATCCTACCCTGTGGGATTCGAACCTAGAATTATTCACAATGGAGTGTGAGTTACTTATATCTATATAAGTAGTATATAATGATGGTCAGACACATAATGTATTTTAGTAGAAAGTCGATAAGGAAAGAATGGGAATGGAACTTAATTGGTATGAAAATGCATAAACAATGAAATCTGAGACAACGAACTGACATTTGAAAAAGGAACAGTCAAGTATGAGACAATGGATTGTTAGTTTGCAAATTAACTAATTACTATATAGTTCTCAGATTTTAGTGACACGTTCTTTTAGTTTATACTCAAATACATTAGAATGTCCTCAGTTGAGTTCTCGTTCACTTCAATAGATTATTGAAAATTGAGTAAATATGTTACGTCCTTGATCTGTTTACCCATTTTCATGCCGAGGATAGGCTATCTGGCTTAACCTTAAGGCTAGTATGCGTGAGTTCGAAGTTGAGGTAGAGAGATGAAAACAATTCTATCACCTGATTGGCTTACAAGTACGCTTGAGAGAGAAAACAAGACAACTGGAACACTACCTGCTTTATTCCAAAATTCAATCTGGTACTCGATCTCAGATTAGTGTGAAAAGATACATGAATAAATAGATGACTAACCTGACCACAACGCATCAATAATTAGAAAAATACATTTGTGCCCAAAACTGGAAACCTGAAGGCCACAGGAGACGAGGAAAACAAAAAAACAGTGATACTTTAATCTGAATCGTTTAAAGTTGGAAAAAATATAAAATTTTATACAGTTGAGATCATGAGTCAATTGAAGCTAGACCACCTGTAAGCGCTGGACGACCGTTTTGTCCTACTGTGAGACTCATCAGAAGTGAGCACCCACGATCCTGCCTCGCGAGATTCGAACTCAGGACCTATCAGTCTCGCGCGCGAGCGATTAATCACTAGACCACTGAGTGTTTTATAGTTTACATTGTCGATTGATCTAAGATGATCAATAAAAATTAAGAAATATTAGATAATTGTTTCATTGTAGATTGGGATCCGGTAAAGATAACACATGGGATCAAACATAAGATATTTTAGGTCTCATGTCAATCGCTTAACTTTTAAAACTATTGGTCGGTATCTAATAGTTCTTTTTTTAACTTCAATGCCTAGGATGAAACAAATATTCAGTGTTTCTTAGTTTTCAGTAGTTACTGATAGTCGGTTCGTTATGTAAAACATGAAATCCAAAAGTCTCTACAAACCGTTGTACTGAAAAAAATTTTCAGAATCAGTATTGTTTTAGTTTGATAAAACTTTATCAGAGTTAAACTTAGTTATATCCTACTTTCATATATCATACATGAATCACTAAATGTGAATCGACATAATGTGAACGACTGAATTATAGATGGAAATTCAGTTTCATAAATATTAATTCTGGAAAGGAGTATGAATCAATCGTTGATCACCATCTACCATGGGTTTACATCTTCTTACGATGCTCCACTGCCTTGTGGATCAAACCTTTAGGTCAAAGGTTCCGGGTGTGGCCCCACTAAGAAAACCACCTGTTTCAGTTTGGGCACCAAGTCTATATCCAAACGTCTCCCTGATTGTATATAGTCACAAAAATACTAATCCTAATCATTACAAAATAATAAGTTAGATTAATTAAGAAATTTTATTCCACTTGTCTGGTGCTATTATATTCAGTTATGTAATATAGAAGTCAATAGATGGGTATTTGAGTAATATGGTAAACAATATACACTCTGATTGTAAATAAAGTTTCGAAAAAATTATTTAATTAAAGAAATGTAACCAAAATTCTTTGTAGTTATGATTGTTTTCATTCTTATGAAGGTCATATTTGTTTTGTTTTGTTTGCGGTTAGAAAGGTATTCAATGAAATATAATTTGATCATAAACAGATGTAATGAAAATAATGTAACAAATCTTTATTCTATAAGAATTATTGTCTAAATTAGAGTGAATAGTTTCACAGGATTTGGGTGCCAAGTTAATGAAAACTTGTACCAGATTGGCAGACGAAACGTTGGATTTACTTCAATTTCATTCGCTGAGATTTTTTAAACCGCCAAAACCAATAGTTCTGTAGGTTTTTGATTGAGACCATAAATCGATCGGTGTTAGACCACCATTGAAAACCTGGAAGCACTAGATGACTGTTTCGTCCTGTTGTGGGACTCCTCAGTGGTAGTGTGCATCCAATATTCCGCACTCGTGAGATTCCAACCCAGGATCTACCAGTCTCGGGCCACAGCACTTAACCTCTAGACCACTTAGCCGGCTGGTATCCAACGGTTTTAATGTCTAACTTCAACCAATCCACGAAATTGAGCAACTATTCACCAATGTCATCAGTGAGTTGATATCTCTCAACAGACCTGGTTGAACTTCACTGGTTACTGCTTAAATCATATAAATCATTTTTTTAGTTTAATGTTCTCATTTTGTGCATGAATTAAGAAAATAAACGTATATAGATAGTGGCTAGCAGTGGAATCCGGCACGCGAGTTATGTCCTATTTTGGGACTCTTCAGTCGGATGTACCTATATCTTAGAGTTTATCTAAACTCCAGAACTCGAACTCAGTACCGCTGGCTTCAAACGCCATCCACTTACCTACTGAGTCATGAAAGTCACTTACTTGTACAGTGGGGTGAAGTTTAAATTGGCTTGATATTGTTTACTTGACTCTTCCTATTAATGTTTAGGACTGAAATTGATCAGTCTCTTATTGGTATATATACTTACTGTGTCTCGATATTGCTTTATAATTCACAAGCATTCTAAGCAAAGTCAGTCATTCCCAATGTAGAACTTCATACGTACGTACATCAGTTCGAGTTGCCACACCACATTAACACATTAACAAATCCCATACTCATAGAAGTAGTAAGAGTATAAGCAGTAATCTGAAAGATTAGGGTTTGCAGATGTTATTGAAGGAGTATAATACAGTGAAATAAATTTGAAAAGAGAAAAAAGATAGAGAGATGAAGAATTCAGAAGATTAGAATTTGGCAGAACACAAAGAGTGGATGCACCTACGCCATTGTAAACGATTTTGAGCCATGTCATTCAAAGTCTCTAACCATCGATTGTTATCATCTCGCGAATCTCAACCAGGTAGTCTACACCTACCAACATGGTTCAGTCCAACTGTTAGTGATTTCATGGATTTAATTCAAGGATGAATAGTGAATAATGGTCTTCATTGATCACAGCTTCTCATTAGTATTCACTAATGAATACGTGTTTATTATGAAGTTTTTCATTCTAATTATATTACTGAATTCGTGTAGGATTGCCAAATCTACTACTACTAAAGGTCATTCATTCTTTTATGAATAGTCATTTTGTCTGTTATTTATTTTTAGGTGACTGTTGGCTATTAGCTGCTATTGCTTGTTTATCAATGGACAAGAAATTATTTGAACAAGTTGTTGCTATAGATCAAAGTTTTACTAAAGAATATTGTGGTTTATTTCGTTTTCATTTTTGGAATTATGGTGAATGGAAAGAAGTTGTCGTGGATGATCGTCTACCAACTTATCAAAAATCATTAGTTTATATACATTCAACTGAAAAAAATGAATTTTGGTCTGCATTATTAGAAAAAGCTTATGCAAAGTAAGTTGTAGCCCGGCAATCGAGAGTGGTAGTTTGCGTATTTATTAGTAGGTAAACAGTTCTGAATTCTTGTTACGTCTTGTTCTATAACTTGCATCACTCAATGGGCTTTGTCAGTCATCCGTTGAAGATCAGGAATGACTGAACAATCTACATCCACAGACCAACCGGGGATAAAATCCAACATCTTGAGTTCTCTTTATGAGTGCTGAATCCTAGTTTGAAAGTCTTTATCAATGGACAATCATTACGTTTTATATGATCTCGTCTACAGAATGTTCAGGTTTTGTTGCTAGTATGAAACCATTTAACCACTTACTAAACTGGCTATTTTCAAATACAGTATTCTGTTGCCAGTGTATAACATTTGTTTTGGTTATAATAAATTTAGAAGGGGTTTTTGTTGAGGTTAGACATAAACACCATTGGATGCCGGCTCAGTGGTCTATCGGTTAAGTGCTCTCGCATGAGACTGGTAGGTCCTGGGTTCGAATCTCGTGAGGCGAGATCGTGGGTGCCCGCTGCTGAGGAGTCCCACAATAGGACGAAACGGTCGTCCAGCGCTTCCAGGTTTTCCCTGGTGGTCTAGCTTCAATTGACTCACGGTTTCAACTATGAATATAATAATTTGAATTAGAAAATTATGTAATACCATTAATTTTTCCTTCATAAATATATTCTAGTTTTCCTATTAAAGGAATACTTGTATCCTAAATAGTGAGTCCTATGGATAAAAAAAATAAGTAAATTAATTACAAGTCTAATGATGATGTGATAGTCGAGTTGAATCTTATTATTATTATTTAGACGTATAAATAATGGTACAAGGGGGAACCAGATAAATATGCACTACACAAATCTCATTTGATTTATGTGAAAGCTGTGATACTGTCCAGGTGCCCAAACTGAAGCAGATGGTTTTCTTAAAGGGCCACACCAGCAGCCTTTGATCTAAAGATCTGATCCACATGGCAGTGGAGCATTGTGAGGAGATGCAGTCACATGGTGGACGGTGACCAACGATTGATTCATACGCCATTTGTTCCTTCAGGATACTGGAGCCAGCCCATGTGCATCATTGGTTTGGGATCAGGGTTTTCGAACTCCTCTAGGTGGACGCGCCGTGTCCACCAACCAGGTTAAAGCACCGGACATTCGGTTTTCGTCCTCTCAATTTCGTAAACAACAGTAATGCGGCGAGAAGACAGTGAGTAGGACTTCCCTGACAGTGGTTGTATGCACGTGGCCGTGTGAGAGCATTTGGAGAGGGAGAGCGGACTCTGCCCACTCTCGGCCATATCAGGGCATTTGGGAGCCGAGTTGAACCTGATCACTCACATTTATCTTATCAACTTGGTTTTTCTTCCACAAATTAAATGCATCATGTAATATCATAACATCCTCTGAACCTTAAACGTAACAATGGCTACAAGTTATTGCTGAACACGAAAATGTCGTGGGACACCAAGTTGTGCCAATAGCACCTTTCATTCCAAAATAGATACGATATCCTAGGTATATCACTTTCTAAGGGTATTTATACTTTGCATATATCACTTATTACGGTTTATAGCATCACCACATTTCTATCCAGTTAAAAGATACCTTCCCAAATATTTATCATTTCCGAAGATAGTAAATAAGCCTGTACAGAGAGACATAAGTAACTTGTTCCACTATCCAGGTTAAGATAGGTGAGGTGATTCTGAACTCTATACCGGTTGGATATATATGAGTCACTGAATCACATATCTATGGTATCAAGTTTAAGCTCACACTTCATTAACATACAATTCATATCAATATGAATGTTCAGTTGGCCAATTTTCACAGTTTAAATGACTGATTTATTTTGTATACATATGTATAAATAGATTATGCGGATCATATGAAGCACTTAAAGGCGGTACAACTAGTGAAGCATTAGAAGATTTTACTGGTGGAATTTCTGAAATATTTGATTTGAAAAAAGATACACCACCAAATTTATTACAAGTTATGTTGAAAAGTCAAGAGTTAAGTTCATTGATGGCATGTTCTATTCAAGCTGATCCAAATACTCTTGAAGCTCGTTTACCAAATGGATTGATTATGGGACATGCATATTCAATTACATCTGTTAAAATGGTTAGTATAATTTTTTTCTACAATATAGTGTGAATTCTTCTAGTCAATGTCCTTATGAACTGATGCTATTTTGGTTTGTAAGCCCCTAGCATTCTTCTGAATAACTTTTATACCTGCCGTCATTGCATGTTGTGGTAGTCGGTGAATAGGCACAAGTGATACACGTCCTATCCATCTCAGTCGGTAGAAAGTTTCATTTCCCCTTCAACCGATTTTCCATCTTTACCTAGTAGGCTGCGTCTAATCTCCGAAATGCTTACTCAATGGTTTTGGAATACACGAACACTGGTTGGATGACACTTGTGATCGAATACTGGTAGTCGGTAAAAATCCTCTTCTTTTAAAGACAGTAGACAAACACATTTGTTTTATAGAGTGTTGATTCTATTTTCAACGATCAAAATACACTGTGAATAATATTCAGTAAATGTAAATATAAATTCGACGTTTATACCAAAGTTTATGATCTTCGCTGTAATGAGAATTTGTACAACTATGACGACTGTTACGTCGCGAAATATTGCGTATTGCGATAGGGCTACACGAAATTCTACTGGTTGACCAAATTCAGATATCCTAGTACGACCCCAATACTGTTTCCCCAACTCCAATACATCAGAACACAGCCGTTAAATAAGAATTGTTTATGGGGTCCGAAGCAGATCGAAAGTGATTTACAGACAATTTATATATATACAGTTAAGATGACTATGAAGAGTAACCAATGGAAAGAAAGGACACGTAAAGGTTATAATTAGGACAACTCAAAATTGATCAATAGGGAAACGAGACGTGAAAGTCATAGTTAGGACAACTGTAAATAATGACCAATAGGAAATAACATGTGAAATATGTGGAAGGTCTGAAAACATACCACTTTACGTTCGAGATAATTTTTGGGATATTCTTGTGAATATCCTAACAACAACCACTACCAATTCTGTTAAGTAGGAAATGAATATCAAATGTATGGACAATTAAACAACCAATATTCGTACAACCTGACATGGTTTGAACTATCTTGTTATTGACATTTTTGACTGAAAGTTGATCAGTTTTGGTTGGCATATATGTAAACAAATCCATGTCAAAAATGAACCAAAACTCACCTACTGTGCAAGTGGATGGCAAATTGAATTCAGTAGCCAAGTGGATAGCATAGCGCTGTTTGAAGAGAAAGATACCAAGTACAAGTCTTGAAGTGAATATCAACTCTGGAGTGCTGGTACCTCTTGATGACGAGTACCGAATCAGACAAAAAGCGCGTCCTGAATTCATTGTTTCCCTAAGTTAAAACATTTTTCTTACAGTTCAAGAACTGTTAACCTTTTATCTTAACTGGATTTAAGGCCTACTATGATTACTGAGCGTGGAATATAATGAATTCTATTACATCATATTTGTTATATGGCCTAAATAACAAACAAAATCTTAACTAGAGCTTCTCAGTAGTACAGTTCTATAAACTTTGATGATTGTGAGATCCGTTTCAGTTATCATATAAGTTCACGTCAACTAAAACTATATAAATCCTCTGAATTCAAAATCCGACTCACAAGTCCTCGTCGTGCCTCCTCGATCATAGGACTGTTTCCATGAACTAACGTCAGCGGCAAACCGGGTGATGGAGATCGGCCTAATCAACCACTCTACCAATACCCGAGAACGATTACGAATGCTACAAAAAGTCATTGCATAACTATTGAAGGTTTAAAAGAGTAGTAAAAAAATGAGTCTGCCCAAACAAAAACAAAAAAAGGGTTGTGAGTGTTATGTAATGGTTCTGTGTAAGCAGTGCAGAAACAGCTATCCCACCCCGGTAGTTGTGCCGTGCTTCGATGTAGCACTCTTCTCCAGAAGGGCCTACTAAGCTTCATCATTCTATATGTCTTAATTCATTAGATTACAGCGAAACTATCAGTCATTTTTGCCGGTAAGGGATCGTCTTCGATTACAAAACGATTTATTATCATAATTCACTTCAAATTGTTTTTACTCTTTCTTTCCTCCCCCTCAAATCTTCATAAACTTTGTCAATTCTATCATTAGTAGACTGTACTTTTTATTCAGGTGTTGAGTATACAAGAAGGAAACCATGTCTCAGAAGACTATAGAGTCAAATGTTCTATAATGATTATTGATTCAGTTTATTAGTAGATGAGATTTCAGTGAAAATTGTATACAGAAGGGGTTTTTGTAGAGATTTTAGTATTTTCATAGTTGAAATCATGAGTCAATTGAAGCTAGACCACCAAGGAAAACCTGGAAGTACTGAATCTCGCGAGGCGAGATCGTGGATGTGCACTGCTGTTGAGGTATCCCACAATAGAACGAAATGGCCGTCCAATGCTTCCAGGTTTTCCATAGTGGTCTAGCTTCAATTGACTCATGCTTTAAACTATGAAAATTGAATTGTTTATCAAATCTTGTCATTTGATTCGTTAAAATGAAAGTTTGTATATTTGGTTTAAGATGTGATGTATTTCATGTAGTGAATGAATCAATCAGATGCATATGGTAGTACCACTTTTGATTCATGGTTTCCAACTGCTATTCTACATAATACTACTGTAGTGAATAAAGCACTAGTTGGGGACAATCGGCATCTCACTAAATTCTGATAACCATACAGTAGTAAACAGTTAATTTGCAAAATAACAATTAATTGTCTCAATCTTCACTGTTCCTTCTGTAAATATGAATCCAACTTCTCTAATTTCATTGTTCATGCATTTTCCTACCGATTGCACTTCATTTCAGTTCTTTCCTTATCGATCTTCTGACAAAATACATTCTATGTCTAACCATCACCATATACTACTTATGTGGATATAAGTAGACTACACTACACTCGTCCACCCTTTAAAGCATTCGTTCATGTGTTGGCTCTGTTCGCTATGCCACTTTCTTCTGTCACTGTACTACTGCTACTATTGCTAATAATAATACTGATGTGCATTTTGGTTTCATGCATTGACCAGATATATTTCGATTAGTAAGATCAGTAATTTGTGGGAACGAAGTAGGTGATTACAGTGATTAGTAGGAAAGTGTGTATAATATATGGGAAACGTGACCTTGACCGTGGTGTTGTGAATCCAAGTATTGGTTCGTATTTTTTTGTTTTTTATTTCATTTGTACCGATTCCTGTGTACTTTTGAATTATTATGGATGAATATATTTGTATAGAAATGATGGTATAATGAACTTTTATTATTATTCAAATTAATGACTAAATTGTCCTTTATCATTTTATAAATAAGTTTGGTATAACGTGATACTGTTCATTGAAGTTAAAGTTAGTCAAAATTATTGATTATGGAAACAAATCTATGAAGAAGGTTAATGATATGATTTATTTCTGTTACTTGATAAGTGATGATTACTTACTGACTTACTGACTTACTTACGGCTGTTACCCCATCGTGGAGGAGAAAATGCCGCATACCAACATTCTACATCCAACCCTGTCTTGGACAATTCTTTCCAGTTCTCTCCAGTTGCTATTCATCCTTTTCATATCTGCTTCTATTTCCCGCCGTAATGTGTTCTTTGGCCATCCTCTTTTCCGCTTCCCTTCAGGAATTCAAGTTCGGGATTGTATCATGATGCAGTTTGGTGATTTCCATAATGTATGTCCTTTCCACTTCCAACGTCTTTTCCTGATTTCCTCTTCAGCTGGAAGCTGGTTTGTCCTCTCCTACGGAAGGCTGTTGCTGATATTATCCGGCCAGTGAATGTTGAGTATTTTGCGTAAACGACTGGCAACCGAATTCGTCTTCACATGAATGTTGATGTACACATTAGAAATTGAACCAAGTACCTTCTACAGCAAACATTAACTTACCATTCAATGTACTACTAAGTCTAGTTGTGCGCCACACAGGATATGCCAACGAAGAACTGACAAGTCTTGAATATCAATAATAAGAAAATTCAGACATTATTAACGATTATAGGTTATTGTACGACGCACTATGCTAACTAGTATTGGCGATGGTTAGAAGAGAGTTAGGGGCGGCCAAACCAAAACATGACATCAGTCCTTGAAGTCGCTAACTTCTAGTCTGAGCCATGTTGGTAGATGCAGACTACTACTTGGTTGGGGTCCGCCTGACTATCTTGACAAATGGTTGTAGACTGTGGGTGACATAGCTCAGAATGAATCACAATGGTGTAGGTGTATAAACTCTTTGTCTTCCCTTAAACCATTGCTTCATATCTGTCTTTCTTCATGTACTGTATTCTTATATACAACCTATATATAATACATAGCTTACTAACCTAATTTCTACATATTAATTAATATGTAATACATATTACATATGTATTCCAATTATCATTTTAGTTAGATATATCAATTCCAAATAAAACTGGTAAAATACCATTAGTTCGTGTACGTAATCCATGGGGTGATGAATCTGAATGGAAAGGTGCATGGAGTGATAAATCAAAAGAATGGTCACTTATATCACCAGAACAAAGACAACAACTTGGTTTAACATTTGATGATGATGGTGAATTTTGGTAAATTAATAAAACATATTAAATTCAACTTAGTATTGTTTGTTTGAATCTTATCATTGATGTTTAGGATTGCCACTAGTCAGTCTCTAATCAGCATATGTGCATACTGTGCGTATTGCCTCGATATAGCTTAAATTCAAAAGCATGGTAAGCAAAGATGGATAATGGCTGGCAGTAGAATCCGGGACGCGCGTTTCGTCCTATTTCACCCCATTGCACAAGCAAGTGGCTATCAGGACTCAGTGGCCAAGTGAATAACGCGATGACGTTTGAAGCGAAAGGTACTGGGTTCGAGTCTTAGAGTGAACATCAACTCTGAGATGCAGGTAAATCTGGCGACGAGTCCCAAATAGGACTAAGCTTGCGTCCTGGAACCCCCTGCTAGCCACTATCCATCTTTGCTTACCAATAAAACATTTATTTATTGTTGTTGAAATATTCAATTGTATTTATGATATTGCTGGTTATAACTATGTTGGTGAAGTTCATTTGAGAACAAGTTTCAGAAAATTTTTGCTGAAGAGATGGACTAATTACTTTATCCAACAATTAACAGTAGTGTTGTTTGGAGGCTCATCTTGGTTCTGGACAGTTCAGCAATATGCATGGCCACATCACTACACATGAATTCCAAATTCAGTACAGTTAGGTCATGTCAAAAGTGTGCATACCATTCAGACATGGACTTGGAAGTCATTAGTTCAAGCTTTTTCTACCTAACCCATTTTATGGTGTAACTATTGACCCAAGCTACTAATGAGTATTGTTATTATCAGAAGGGGTTTTGTGGAGATTTAGTATTTTTATTGTTGAAAGCGTGAGTTAATTGAAGCTAGACCACCAGGGAAAACCTGGAAGCACCAAACGGCCATTTCGTCCATCGGATGCCGGCTCAGTGATCTATCGGTTAAGTGTTCTGGCACGAGACTAATAGGTCCTGGGTTCGAATCTCGCGAGGCGAGGTCGTGGATGCGCACTACTAATGAGTAGCTGTTTCATCGTGTATCTTGATTATCACATTAAACATTTGAGATAATGAATCTTGTAAGCGTCTTCAAATAGATGAGATTATTTAATTCTCTTACTTCAGGTTGATTGAATGATTTTCAGGTACCAGAAAATTCTCACTGCTCTATCATTTATTAAAGAAGGTTTAAGTGAAGTTAATCTGTATCTCCTATAAGGTCATTCTGGAATATAACCCACAAAAACTGGAGTAATGAATAATGTGTTTCATTATAGGTTAATGTGAACCACTTTACCGATTGGATTAGTGTTGTGTGTAATGCTTTCCAGATTTATACTAAATTCGGTAAACGATAATTACAAAATAGTCTGATATTCCAGTTGTAGTGAACAAGAACACCGTTTGGGGACAATCGAATGTCAGAAGGGGTTTTTGTGGAGATTTAGTATTCGCATAGTTGAAAGCATTAGTCAATTGAAGCTAGACCACCAAGAAAAACCTGTAAGCACTGGACGGCCCTTTGGTCCTATTGTGGGACTACCCAGAAATGCGCATCCACGATCCCGCCACGCGAGACTCGTACGCAGGACCTATCAGTTTCGCGCCAGAGCACTTAACCGATAGACCACTGAGCTGGCGTCCGATGGTGTTAGTTTCTAACTTCAACCAATCCACTAAGTTGAGCAACCGCTAACCGATTGTCTTCAGTGAGTTTCTATCTTACAACAGACGTGGTTTGAACTCCACTGGTCACTGCTTCTCACTAGAACTCCAGAAATTATCTATTGAAGTCAGTCACTAGTGTAGGACTCCTCAACAGTGCGCAACCACAACCTCGCCTTGCGAGATTTGAACCCACAATAGGACGAAATGGCCGTTCAATGCTTCCATTGGTGGTCTTAGCTTCAATTAACTCATGCTTTCAACTATGCAAATACTAAATCTCCAAAAAAACCTCTTCTGGTACAAATGTTTTTCTTTATTCTAGGATGTCTTATCAGGATTTTATATCAAACTATGAAAAACTTGAAATATGTCATCTTGGACCACAGTCTATGGGTGAAATGGACGGAAATCGTGTTTGGGAAATGTGTATTGAAGAAGGTTGTTGGCAGCGACGTGTATCAGCTGGTGGATGTCGTAATTTTCTTGGTAAGATGAAAGTCAGATTTATTTTTATTGTTGAATAGAACCTTTCCCCCTTTTTTTGAAATGAAACGCTAAATTACAAGATGCTTGAAAACATGTCTCCAGTTCAAGTGAAACTCAATAAGCTCAATATAATTGATAATAATGGAGACAGTAATGAATCCATATTGGTTTTTTTGATTTTTGTTTCTAGGTGTAGACTGTGTTCGACACAGATTTATCTCCGTTGAGGTACCAATAAATATAAGGAAACAGTGGAAACATGTTTCGTTCAAGTATGAGACACCTCACTAACGAGCATCTGCGACCTCAGTAGTAATCAATCCCATTACTTACACGTTTCTCAGTGAGCTCTTAGTCATTGAGTCGGTGCCTAATGACCGTGGTGAGGTCGTGGGTGTTTACTCTTGAGTAGTCACTCACTAGGACAAAATAGCAATCAGGTGTTCTTTTGTTTTCAATGACAGACGGACGGAAATTGATGCATAACGGATGCGACCTTCAATGTAAAACCGAACTCCATTTAACTTTTCCAACTAAATTACTATAACCTTTTATTGATAGATTATTTACGTGGTTAAATATTTTTGTACATGTTATATCGCGTGTAATGCGTAAGTGCCCTGTTAATATATGAAGTTATAAGACTGCCAATTGGAGAGCAGTGAATTATCGATCGGATCCAATGATACACAAAAAGCCCTATGAGCAGTCTAGAGTACTTATCAGTCCTGGTTTCTGCCTAGCTCAGTCAGTTAAGTCCAAAACACCAATAACAGCCTCTGCAATATGAATCGTTATTCTCAAACATACTGGGTTATATACATACCAAATAGAGCACATCACACCACAAAATAGGAAACAACATTTGTACAAGATCTAGCTAAATGTGGCTGTGAACAGAGGGAACAGTAATTAATAGACTGGGTATAACTCAGGAATGGTAAGTCGTACAGTAATAGTTTATGGATGAAAATAAAGCTCATAATAAAAGGAATAATTAAGTTACTTAGCAATTATGCAATAGGAAACATACATATCATATTGTTCCATAAATAGTCCTCAAAGTTACCATTCATAATTCTCCACAATGAAAATTTAACTGTCAGGGAAATCCTACTCACTTCTTTCTCGTAGCATTACTGTTGTTTACGAAATTGAGAGGACGAAAAGCGAATGTCCGACGTTTTAACCGGGTTGGTGGATATGGAGGGTCCACCTAGAAAAGTTGGAAAACCCTGAGTCAAAACCAATGATGCACTTAGGCTGGCTCCAGTATCCTGAAGGAACGAATGGCGTATGAACCAATAGTTGGTCACTGACTACCATGGGACTGCATCTCCTTATGATGCTCTACTGCCTTGTGGATCAGATCTTTAGATCAAAGGCTACGAGTGTGGTCCTCTAAGAAAACTATCTGTTTCGAGAAGAATGAATAGACGTGCATAATAAAATTTATTAAACCTTTTGGTAAAACTTAAGATCTACGGGAATCAAAAGAATGGTTGTAACTATGTCTTTGTCAACTGATTCTGATCTAAATTAACCAAAGTCTGCACCTCTATCAATTAGGAATTTCATGAACTAATAGCATGGATATATGTTACACTATATTGATTTTGTCTTGTCTCCATTCAAACACTCTAACTTATCTATTTTCTTACTCATATAAACAATAATTTAGATACATTTTGGATAAATCCACAATATGTAGTAACTGTTGAAGATCCAGATGAAGATGATGATGAAAATAAAGGAACATTAATTGTTGGTTTAATGCAAAAGAATAGAAGAAAAATGAGACGTGAAGGTGTTGATCTACTAACTATTGGTTATTCTATTTATAAAGTAAGTTATTTAGTTACAATTAGATAAATGTTACATATAAATATTACTGAATTTATTGATAGTAGTAGTAAATAAATAAGGATAAGTTATACTCAATGATGTTATAATTGATAATGTTGAGATATTATATGTTTGATTACACATAAAATATAATAATCCGATGGGGGTTTTATGAAGATTTCAGTATTTCCATAGTTTTGAAATTATGAGTCAATTGAACCTAGATCATCAAGGAAAACCTGGACAGCGAGATCGTGGATGCGCACTGCCACTGAGAAGTCCCATAATAGGATGAAACGACCGTCCAGTGATTCCACGTTTTTCTTGGTGGTCTAGTTTCAATTCACTCATAATTTCAACTATGCAAACATAAAGTATTATTGGAATAACACTGTTCTGATAGAGTGGATGAAGTACTCAGTTTATGTACATCCTTTCATCGAATTTCTGTTTGATTTTAACCCCAGAGATACGATTTGTTGGTTGGTGAACTTATGTTTTGAAGTGTAGTATTCTATAAGTGAGTGATATATGAATTCTGAATAAATGAGGTTATTAGGTTTGTGTTAAGTCATTGAATATTAAGATTGTTTAACAATCGTACTTCAAATCTTCGTTAATATGTAATTTTGTTTCTTGGTTGAAAATTATTGATTAACGGAAACTATTGTAGTATGGTTTGAACTGTTCCACTAGAATACGTTATGAATATGTTGAATCTTAAGTTTGACTTCCTTCCATTGTTCTCCACGTTTGTTTCAAGACTGAAATTGATTAGTTAATCCTTCTTTCTCCCCCAATCTTGATAAACCTTATCAAATCTATCATCAGTAGAAGGTTCTTTTTATCCAGGTGTTGAGTATACAAGAAGGAAACCATGTTTCAGAAGATTGTAGAGTCATATATACCATGATGATTATTGATTCAGTTTCATAGTAGATGAGATTTCAGTGAAAATTGAATGCAGAAGGGGTTTCTGTGAAGATTTCATTATTTACATTGTTGAAATCATGAGTCAATTGAAGCTAGACCATCAAGGAAAACCTGGAAGTACTGAATCTCTCGAGGTGACATCGTGGATGAGCACTGCTGTTCAGGTGTCCCACAATAGGACGAAACGACCGTCTAGTGCTTCCAGGTTTTCCATAGTGGTCTAGCTTCAATCGACGCATGACTTCAACTATGAAATATACTAAAATCTCCACGAAAAACCCTTCCAGTATCATTAATCTATCTTCATAGATTTGAAAAATCCTATTCTCATATTGTCCATACTTACTTAACAAATATGTGTTTACTTATAAGCAAACAACTTTATTTTTGTCCTCGATTATTGACATTTTTTTTTCTCATTTTAATAAACAACTTACCTAGTCATATGATTTATCAGGAATATTGGCAACAACAAAAAAAGATTGGTCACATGACCTATTTCTCATAGAGTTAATAATGGACATAAACAATCGATCTTATAGAATGGCTATTGTTTAACCATGAGTAGTTTGGATAAGTCAATAAACACTTATATACTTCAAATTAGAATAAATAATAAGAAGGTGTGCACATTTGTGAGGAAGCAATTACACAATTTCGGGGGTATGATGAGAATAAAGAATTGGCGAGACAATTATTTATGGATGAACCAATCAAAGTTAACATAATAGATCTCGGTTTTTTTTCGCATGAAATTCACTCATCGATTTGGTTAGATAAAAGTTTGGCATTATAGATGATGTTAATTCGTGATGAAAACCCTAAATCTAATTAGTAATCCTAACCATTAACTTCACTTAGTATTGTTTGTTTGAATCTTCCCATCGATGTGTTTCGGACTGCAACTGGTCAGTCTCTAATTGGCATATGTGCATACTGTACGTATAGCCTCGATATAGCCTTAATTCATATACCTTAATCCATCTGTGCTAACCATTAACTGTTAAATATGATACTTATTTATAACCTTCATTTAGTCTTAGTTGCTAGGTGAACATTTTCAAAGTCATCTTAACATTCTTCAAGGAACGTCCATAAATGATAGTTCTATCCAACATGAAATTGAGTGAATAACATTTTTTATACATCAATAAAATAAATTATAAACTAATTAAAACAACACACCGTAAGATCACAATTGATTGATCACTGGATGTAGATCATTGTCATACGTATCAAATCCTTCTTAGTGCTGATCGAATGCTATCGATCAAGTTGCAGTGTGGCCATGTTGCAAGTGACAATGTGGCAATGCAGCCCAAATAACTCAGTGTTAACGTCTCTAACTGTGAAGCTGAGTGACACGAGATCGAATCCGCCAGGGAGCACCAGTTCCCTCAAGATTATAGGTAAACCTTGCTGACGAGTGCCAAGTAGCATGAAACCCTGTTCAAGGATTTCCTGTTGACCACCTCCAACCACCATCACACCGTAAGATAGATGATGTAAATTTGAGTATACAATGTTACATAATAAACAGGACTATTGACTTTCATATTAAGTAATGACTGAAATGGATTCTATACTACTATGTGAAGTGATAGATCATATACAACGAGATGATACAGTTAACCTTTTTGAAAAAACTTTCCATACTTCATCAAGCCTAAGGTGTTCTTTACTTTAGCCTAATATTGTGATCATATTCATATGTATAGTAGATTATGTAAATCAATGGCAAACAACCTCAGTCTTCATGGAAATCTAAATAACTTAACCTAAGTATTAAAGACCTGTTGTAATCATCGTATCAATATCCAGTACTGTGTAACTGTACCCATAATCATCTTTCTAGCTAGTGAAACTCCATGAAATAGTATATCACAGAATACAATATCATGTAATTAACATCTTCTGTTGCTGAACTAATGACAAACATTGATACATCGGTGGAGAACCAATTTATAGATTCAATTCAACATTGGGACTTAAATCAACAATCGATTAAGTTGGCTTCAAAAATCAGATCATCACCTAATCATTAATTTCAATAATAATAAAAGTTCATTATACCATCATTTCTATACAAATATATTCATCCATAATAATTCAAAAGTACACAGGAATCGGTGCAAATGAATCAGAAAACAAAACAAAAAACGAACCAATACTTGGATTCACAACACCACTGTCAAGGTCACGTTTCCCATATATTATGCACATACCTTCCTACAAATCCCTATGATTATTCACTGTAATCACCTACTTCGTTCCCACAAATTACTGATCTTACTAATCGAAATATATCTGGTCAATGCATGAAACCAAAATGCACATCAGTATTATTATTAGCAATAGTAGCAGTAGTACAGTGACAGAAGAAAGTGGCATAGCGAACAGAGCCAACACATGAACGAATGCTTTAAAGGGGGACGAGTGTAGTGTACTTATATCCACATAAGTAGTATATGGTGATAGTTAGACATGGAATGTGTTTTGTTAGAAGATCGATAAGGAAAGAACTGAAATGAAGTGCAATCAGTAGGAAAATGCATGATCAATGAAGATTGAGACAATTAATTGTTATTTTGCAAATTAACTGTTTGCTGTATGATTATCAGAATTTAGTGAGATAGTCTTTAATTTTGTGCTTAAATTCATTCAATTGTCCCCAACTCGTGCTTTATTCACTATAATAGTATTATATAGAATAGCAGTTGGAAATCATGAATCAAATGTGGTACTACCACATGCATCTGATTGATTTATTCACTACACAAAATACATCAAATCTTCAACCAAATAGACCTACTTTCATTTTAACGAATCAAATAACAAGATTTGATAAACAATTCAATTTTCATAGTTTAAAGCATGAGTCAATTGAAGGTAGACTACCAAGAAAAACCTGGAAGCACTGAACTGCCGTTTCGTCCTATTATGGGACACCTGAACAGCAGTGCTCATCTACGATGTCACTTCGCGAGATTTAGTACTTCCAGGTTTTCCTTGATGGTCTAGCTTCAATTGACTCATGATTTCAACAATGTAAATAATGAAATCTTCACAGAAACCCCTTCTGCATTCAATTTTCACTGAAATCTCATCTACTATGAAACTGAATCAATAATCATCATGGTATATATGACTCTACAATCTTCTGAAACTGTTGGGGATGTCAAATCCCGAGAACTTACTTGATAAGTGGCTTAATTTTGTAATTTTAATTTGGGGATTTGAATTTAGCTGTTTTCGCGCCAAACGCGCTCTTTTTACCTTCACGTCATATTTCCCACCTGTATACTATCTTAAACGCCATTGGTCCATTGTTTCTTTGTGTGTGCTATTTATTAATGATACCCAAGGACAATTTGCTGCTGTATATATACGCTTGAGTTTTTCCCTTATTTGATTGCTGTGCTTCTGGCTGCTACGGAATATAACTTCCCCGCTTCCAACTTGGACTTCTTACTCTAGTTAGCTGGGTTTGGGTCGCGTCAGAATAGCTAGCTTATCGGTCCCTGGTCACAAGTCTTTGTTCCGTTCGCTACTAGTGAATTCATAATGCTTCAGATATAACAGAAACATGGTTTCCTTCTTGTATACTCAACACCTGAATAAAAAGAACCTTCTACTGATGATAGATTTGATAATGTTGATGAAGATTGTGTGGAAAAAGAAGGATCAATTAATCAATTTCAGTCTTGAAACAAAAGTGGAGAACAAAGGAAGGAAGTCAAACTTAAGATTCAACATATTCATAACGTATTCTAGTGGAACAGTTCAAACCATACTACAATAGTTTCCGTTAATCAATAATTTTCAACCAAGAAACAAAATTACATATTAACGAAGATTTGAATAATGATTAACTTAAATGATGTTACAATCTTTAGTTGGCTAGTAATGATTATTTAATGAAAGAGAACAATAGATAAAAATCTACCAATGAGATTGTATATTGATTAACTATATGTGACAGAATCTTCAATGAAATATGTCGAGGTTAAAGAGGTTTCATTTGAATATTCAGTCATCATAAAATTTATGGTGTACTTTGATGTTCTTGAAGCACGAACAATATAAAAGTGTTGCGTAATTAGATAAGTTTAGACTTATAATCATTCCATAAGTGATTCAATGAGCCCGAAGTGTATTACCATATTTTGTAAATAGGGAAATCAACTAATATTAAAGAGGTACTATAGGGAAATTAAGCTTAAGATGAGAAAGTAGAAACCACCGGTATCAACGTTGAGACAGATTTATTGAAATAGGCGGGTAACAACTTGTACGAAACAAGAAACAATCATAATACATTTTATACTACTTACGAATATAGAGTAATATAGTGCTCAAATAGATAGTCTATCCATTTGGATTACCTTAGTTTAAGGAAATCATCGACCAATGGAGATAATACGATGTCTGTTGGCCGAAAAGGTTAAAAGGAAACTTTTTCGTGTTTAATTCTTTGAGATCTGATTAATTAATGATTATTGTAGATGGTGACAAGCTAATAATTACAGTACCGCATAATATTTTATTGTTTCTCATTAAAGATCCTGTTGACAGTACTAATATAATAAAATGAATTCAATCATCCAACCCATAGCTTTTCACCATAGGTTACTAATGAATACCGAATAGCACAAAACCTATGCTTAAAGTTTCCCGGAAATTTATGCTACCCATCTAACATAAAAACATAGTCCACATGCCAAAGAAGTCCTACTCACTGCCTTCTCGTGGCATTACTGTTGTTTACGAAATTGAGAGGACGAAAACCGAATGTCCGGCGCTTTAACCGGGTTGGTGGACACGTCGCGTCCACCTAGGGGATTTGGAAAACCCTGATTCCAAACTAATGGTGCACATGGGCTGGCTCCAGTATCCTGAGGAAATAAATGGAGTATGAATCAATTGTTGGTCACCGGCTATCATGGAGCTGCATCTCCTCACGACACTCCACTGCTTCATGGATCAGATCTTTAGATCGAAGGCTCCGTGTGTGGCCCCCTTAGGAAACCAACTGTTTCGGTTTGGGCACCCAAGCAGTATCACATCTCTCACACAAATCAAATGAGATTTGTATGGCACATATGTATCTGGTGCCTCTTTGCACTAATATTTATGTGTTTAAATGAAATGCTGCCCCACATAATGCTGATTCATTTAGAATAGGAGTTATAGGGAAACTTGTCTAATAGAATTCAGTCAACATTAAAGGAGTAGACATATATGATATATATATGATATCGGTCACTACTCAGCTATTGATCAGCCGTACATATTTGTTTAAATATACATGTCACTTTTGAACACATTATATTTTTTTGGCTTACTTTTGAAAACCAATTATCTAGTTACCTGAACAGCAACAAGGTACATTGGATATGAAATTTTTCAAATACAATGCATCAGTTGCACGTTCACCAGCATTTATTAATTTACGTGAAGTATGTGGTCGACATAGATTAGATACAGGACGATATGCAATTATCCCATCAACATTTCAACCAAATGAAGAAGCTGATTTTATGTTGCGTATATTCTCAGAAAAACCGCGTAAAACTCAGTAGGTTATTTTGTTGTGTTTTTTTGTAAATAGAAAGATTTATAGTAAATTTAGGTAGTATACTATCTGGAAGTGTTCTTTCATAATCTATATTTATCCTAAACTTCGAACCATAGACTCTATAACGAACATATTAGCCTTCGTTAATATGATTGGTTTTATGATCTGTTGATCTTTGTTATAGTTTTGAGTGGTGATTTTTGATTTCTATTGGGAACGTGCGGCCAGCGGAGTTCTCACATATCTTGGATGAAGTGAATATCACTGGCAGTATAAGATGATGATCTCGTAATTTCGCGAATTAACTGGATCCAAAGCCAGAGACCTGAAGGTTAATCGCTAATCATGAGATCTGAATGTTCTGTTCACTATCACGTGATGGGTTGTGTCGGGGCGGCTTCGAAAAGCACGACGAAGCCTTCAGAGGTTCTAAAGGAGCCAAAGAGATTCCGTCCAATCACAACCTGATAGAGCCTTTTGGTGTATCAACGTGACACGCTGCGATTGAACAATAGCATAACTTGCCTCGATGTGGATTGGCTGAATTTTAATGACGTTATAGCCATTAAATCTTTGATTCTACCCAGTGATCACATTCCCTGCTTCTTCTGTCTTCTGATCTGCGACTATGAGTTACTACACGTTCGAGTGCTGTTAGTTGCATATCATATTCTGCCGTTATCAAGTAGAGGATGTACCAGGGTGTGAGTGTGGGCCTCTTAGGAGTCCCACAGGAGGACGGACTAGTTGTCAAGTATTTCCTGGGTTTCAATGGTAGTCTAACTAAAGTCAGTCCATGGAGTAAAACTATGCACATAAATATAAATTGCGACTAATTTATTTACGATCGAAAAAACCCAGTCAGTTATGTATGGTGTATATGGTACATATCCATCTTCTCTCGCTAGATACTCTTACCTTTAATTGTCTCTCTAAATCAATAATAGAATAAATGGAAGGACTATGGAGTATTGAACCATCCGTTGAATCGAATAATTTGAAGCTGCCGTAAAGTCAAAAATTGAAATTTAATGCTTGATTCATATAGTTCGAACCCAATCATTATCCGATTCTACTTAAATTGTAATAAGCGATATTTTGGAAAATTGGCATTGGCATATCTTCCAAGATAATATTTACTTCTGAAGTAGAAGCTTTCATTGATCGAAGCTCATCTATTGAATGTTAAGTTCTATAGTTTTCATGACGAAAGGATCTTAGCTGCACAATTACTGAAAAGCAAGAGGCAGTTAACAGCTGTTTCATTATAGTATGGAACTTCTTAATTATGCGCGCTGACGACTACACTGAGGATTAGATGTGATCCAGTTTCCCACCATGGGTAATAAATGGTTGCTAAAAATCTCCAATTTGTTGGATTAAAAAATACAAACAATTAAAAGGTCAACTCAGTGATCTAAGTGATAGTCATTCGCTATGAGACCCATAACTTTTGCGTCTCGTCACCGATATGGTAGTAGGTGCAAACTGCTAACGAGTTCCATGCTAGCAGCTGTCAAGTGCTTCCTGGTTTTCAATGGTTGTCTGACTAAGCTCAATTTTCGACTTCAACTATAAGAAACAAAATAGTTTAAAATGCAGTATTCACTGTGAAGAAAAGATTGATTTATGAACAAATGATAAAAGAAATCTTCGATATTGTATAAATTTTTCTGTCTAGCGTTTTTTTAACGAGTTGATTTTCTATAGGATGGGGTCGCTAATCCCCCATGCCCAACCCTCCTCCTTTACTCAGGCTCGGGACCGGCAGTAGGCCCCGGAGGAGCTACAGGCGAAGTTAACATTTTATAAAGCTATTATATTATTGTTCGTCCATATTTATTCTTGTCTAATTGATGAATTCTTTTAACTTCAGAGAATTAGATGAAGAGATCGGTGAAACGGAACCGACAGTAAGTAATGCAATTTTAACTTTTAAAAAAAAGGGGTTGGAAATGTATTCTATTGTATTTCGATATTGTAGTATAAAAATGATAAAAGGTGGAGGTCATGAGGTAATTGTTGGTGGGGGGGCTCTTGAGAAGTTCTAAAGAATGAAGAAATAACTAACTAAATAAACTCTTACAACTACTTACATTTTTGGGAGGAATATATTGTTTAGACATCTGGTTAAATGTTCTAGCTTATAGGATTCAGATGCGCTTCAGTTTGCTTATGTATGATGTAAGATCGACTAGGAGTACAACGGAAAGCTGTTTATTGATGATAATGGTGACGATTGTACTGGAGTTGGATACTCGACTACAACATACATGGAAAGAGCCCGATATGTTAAATGTTTCGTATCTTAAACGATGGAAATATCGTTGATTGAAAAACTGTTCATGTGTTTAAATTGACCAGGAAATGTTTACCAGTTACTTTTAATTCAGAACCATCACTTATGTGATAGGATTTTCAGTGAGATGATCTCCACTACTTATAAAGTGGATCAAATACCGGATTTTCTAGGATACTGAAAACAATGAATAGAAGTAATGAGTTTATAAACATTAGGAACTGATATCTAAATTGTTTGTATATAATTCATATTATAGTGTGTGCTACTGATATCGACAAATATAAGTAGTATGTATCACCGATTAAAAGTGAAATGTCTGGAGGCAGAAAGGTAAGAAGATCTAAGAAAATCGAACGATGTCCATGTGTCTCGCTTGAATACACATTTACTGATTTGTTTATTCTTTTGATTTCATCATTATTTAAAATCTATTTTGAATAGTAACTTCAATGGTTCCACTTCATCCACTAGTTCATTAGGATCATTACCTCAAAACACAAGTTGAAACACACTTTGAAATGTAATGAAAATTGTTTTAAAGAAACAATGGCGAAACTATAATTTATGGATCACCTTGAACGAATCTCAAGTGACCTTGAAAATGTTAGTCAATCAGTGAACAGTCAGCACAGAGTAGAAATATATTATACAATACCAAAGTATTAAAGGAGATACACTGCTTTTACATGGTTCAAAAACTTATCAAGATTAGAAAGAGGTTCATAGGTTCTAAAGTCGTAATGTATGAAGTTGAGGAACTCATCCATATGGCTCCATAATACTCGATCTCTGGAGCCATGATACGGTCACAAAAACTCTCTCAGCCTCTCTCTGCTTAATATTGTTCGTATGTATTCCGGTTGTGTAAGCTTGTCATTTTTATTGCGCATACATTCCTACAATACTCATACCACTGAACAGCCGAAGCTTCAGTAACATCTGTGAATATTGCAGCCAATGTTAATGGTGATTTTATTATACAGTTCGCGTTAATTATTATAGTTTGCCCTAGTTTCAATCTGGATAGAGGGAAAATAAGTTCCTATTCTAGCAGACTTCTTACTTTAATATATAGTACATCGAAAGATAACATCATTACGGTAGTCTGCATAAGGTCTACAAGTCATTTAATTACCGCAATTACAAATAAAGGAACATCTTATTAGTCCCATTTATTGTAGCCTCTTAATTGTCATTTTTTCTTTAAAATCCTCTGTGAATCCATTGTATATGAACATCAGGTAATGAAATTGGCGCTGTGACCTTGAAATCCTCCAAACGCTTCTGATTAACTCTTCCATAAATTTGATGTATTTAAGTTATATGGATCAGTTTGTAATATTTCTATTCATTGATTGTCATTGGTTGTAGTAAATGTTGAAGCTTTTTTTGACATGTAATGATTAATCATAGAGTTAACCTAATACTGCAACTGATCAATGTACACAATAATAACTCTGCATGACGTTGTATTCATTCATAAATAATGAATCGAATCAGATTAGAATAGTTCAAATTCTTAGCTTTAATCTATTTTTGAAATTCAACACTCTCTAGTCCGCAATCCAATAGTCTAAGAGTAGTACTGTAATATTTATGAGGCAAAAATGTTTTCATCGAACCATGAATATACACTGTTGAGAGGTTTTCAACCTAATATTAGTTTGTAAGAAACATTAACCTTCAAGTTGTGTATGTGACTTGAATTAGGTTAGAAAGGAGATTCTTTGTTAAGGAATTCGATCAGATCGCAAAATCTAATTTGACCGAAGAGTAAATTTCATTATAATGAATCACTGCCAATCTAGAAGGTAGTCTGATATATTCTGAAAGGTAAATTATTTTCATTGTCTGAGACAATATTTCTTTTTGTTATCTGTACAATATTGTTCTTCTTATGAGTGGATAAAATGGCTTCAAAACAGATCATTGAAGAAAGAATCCTTTATTGATTCTTCGAGCGATTGGAACAACTTATGACGAACTGATTGATCGATAAGATCTTTATTGATTTATTTGAACACATAAATATTTGTATAAAGAGGCAATGAATACATACGCGACACACAAGTTGCTTGATTTTTGTGTGGGCTGTGATACTGTGCGGGTGCCCAGACCAAAGCAGGTGACTTCTTTAGGGGGCCACATAAAGAGCCTTCGATCTGAAGGTCTGATCCACAATACATGTGAATATTCACTATTTTAGTAACCGGTATTGTTCTAAACTGAATTATTTCAGCTGATGTATGTATCCATCTGTAACATTCACTTCAATGATGATGATATTATGGTAATAAGCAAGCTTTTATATTAAGCTTTCAAACATATGGGGATTGCATTCTATAGTGCTCTTCCATACAGTAGGGTTACTAAATTATTAACGTTAAATGTACAATTTGACGAATCTCTTCACTGTTTACCTTCAAGGATGTCTAAAGTTTTTGATTAGTTTTCAGTTAACTTCACTTATGTCTTTTAGGTTCGAAAGCATCACAACATTCCTAAAATGACGGTTTGTTATTTGCAAAAAAATGATTTAGTATTTCCATAAGCGTCTATTCTTCTCTTATTTTTCTTTTCACTAAATATTTGTTTATAAGCAATAGTTTAAGCAGTTTACACTTGTTGCTAATGTGTTTGTTGATCATTTGGTTAGAAACAATAGTTGTTTGATATTTTACTGATTTATTTTACTGTCTGTCTTTCTCTATCTCTCTGTCTATATGTGTATGCGTGTGTGTAAATCTGTGCACTATTCTTGTTGCCAAGTTTTAGATTTCACTTTTTGTTCTCAGTTTTCCTTACCTCCACCCACCTCTCTTCAAAAAAGAAAAAAAACAAACAATTTCACACTTATGCACAATCTGATGATAAGTTTATGTTTTATTTTTTCATAGTTGAAATCATGAGTCAATTGAAACTAGACCACCATGGAAAACCATTTCGTCCTATTGTGCGACTCCTCAGCAGTGCGCATACAGTCAGTCAGTTAGTCACAACGCAGAACTTCGTACGTACGTACATCAGTTCAAGTTGTTACATCACATTAGCACAGAGATGCAGATGTCGATACAAATCCCATAGTGGCAGAAGTAGTAAGAGTGCAAGCAGCAATCTGAAAGATTAGGGTCTGAAGATGTTATTCAAGAAGTACAATCCAGTGAAATAAATTTGGAAAGAGAAAAATAAAGGGACATGAAACTGGAACCTGGAAGCACTGGACGGCCGTTTCGTCCTATTGTGGGTCTCCTCAACAGTGCGCATCCATGACCTCGCCTCACGAGACTCGAAACCAGGACCTACCAGTTTCGCGTCACTTAACTGATAGACCACTGTAGAGGCATCCCATGTTGTTTATGTCTAACTCCAACCAATCCAGGAAGTTGAGCAACCGTTCATCAATTGTCTTCAGTGAGTTCCTATCTCACAGAAAACCTGGTTTCAACTCCACTGGTCACTGCTTCTCACTAGAGCTCCTGGATTTACCTCTCGAAGTCAGTCACTAATAAGCATATGATTATTATTATCAGAAAAGGCGAAGCGAAGTCAAGGATGCGCACTGCTGAGGAGTCGCACAATAGGACGAAACGACCATCCAGTGCTTCCAGGTTTTCCTTGGTGGTCTAGCTGCAATTGACTCATTCTTTCAACTATGAAAATACTAAATCTCCACAAAAATACCTTCTGATAATCAGCGAATTACCAGTCAGTTTAGTCAGCCGAGTTCAATTTTGTGGTTCATATACATATGTATATGAGGCTGAGTCAATCCATGTTGTACTACAAAACTGTATTTTTTGCTTTGTTTTGTTTTTTTGAATTCTTGGGGTATTTTGACATCATTCAAGAAAACAAACAAACAATGAACTTGTTAACCTCTTCAAACTTACACTTCAAAACAATGATGACATGTATTATGTAATAGGGGGTATTGCAAGGTAACATTCCTAACTGTAATCCATCTACGTTGATGATGATGATGATGATGATAATGTTTACCGGTTTTTATTTTCACTGGTTGATGTACCATTTTTTATTTTTTTTTTAATTATTATTATTAATTATATAAACTGTTTTTCTACATTTCTAATTTCTAGCTCAATTTGGATGATAATGTATGTTTTTTACTAATAAGAGGAAATCATGGTTTTTTTTTGTTTTGTTTTTTGGCAAGCATGAAATGCGTGGGCGTGTGCGTATGTGTGTGGAGCTGGGCATATGCATGTATTAACTTTTGTGAATTTGCCTATTTTTTTTATACTGATGGAATGAATTTTTTTGGTCTTATGAATCCATGCTACTGAATTTTATTCATTTTGCTATCCTTGTTTGTTCTATTCTTTTGTAAAATGTAATTTGTAAGTGATATTGTAAAATGTCCATCTGAAAACATTCAAGGTACATTAATCTCATATGCTTTTAAGAGAATATATAAATATGCGACAATACAAATGTTTTGTCCCCATTTTCATTGTTCAAAACATGAATAAAAGCACTTAAAAGTCAATATTTTCAGTTAACTTATTAATTCACGACGATTGTCTTGTCATTGTACCAGATCCCCATTTTCGAAAGACCATTTCTTGTTTAAAGAAAAGTTTAAGCGGAGATTTTCTATTTGATGAAATATTTGATTCTTTTGTCATTGGTTGGTTATCAGCGATTTTTACTCAACTTCATATGTTTGAAGTTTTCATTAACAAAAATGAGGTCAACAACAATTTGTAATTGACAAAAAGTGGATAACATGATGGCGTTTGAAGCGAAAGGTACTGGGTTCGAGTCCCAGTGTGGACATCAACTCTGAGATACAGGTATATCCAGTTGACGAGTCCCAAACAGGACGAGACGCACGTCAAACTGGATTCCACTGTTAGCCATTATCTATCTTTGCTTATAACAACAATAATAGTTCATTTCATATGTTTATCACACAGATAATGTAAAACAAAGTTTATAAATCAGATGTTTAAATTAGGAATCCTTATTGTCAAAATAGATATGTACAATATGTTACTCAGTTAATAATATTAAGAAGGTGATAATGTTTCACTAGTGATAATCACATTTAGACATTCTAAATAGTTCTTATGATTTCTACAGTTGTCAGCAGCAATAAATCTCAACATACACAAAGGGAAAAGCAAGACCCTCCAGTACAACACTACATGCATCAATCGAACCACAATTTACGGAGAAGCTTTGGAGGATGCGGAATACTTTACATATCTCGAGCAGCATCATTGATGAACATGGTGGATCAGATGCAGATGTGAAGGTGCGGATCGGCAAAGCAAGAGCAGCATACTTACAACTGAAAAACATCTGGAGCTCAAAACAATTGTCAACCAACACCAAGGTTAGAATTTTCAATACAAATGTCAAGACAGTTCTACTATATGCGGCAAAAACTTGGAGAACTACAAAAGCCATCATCCAGAAGATACAAGTATTTATTAACAGTTATCTACGCAAAATACTTCGGATGCGTTGGTCAGAAACTATCAGCAACAACCTACTGTAGGAGAGAACAAACCAGATTCCAGCGGAGTAATAAATCAGGAAGAAGCGCTGGAAGTGGATAGGACATACATTGAGGAAAGTACCCAACTTTGTCACAAGACAAGCCTTCACTTGGAATCCTCAAAGCCAAAGGAAAAGAGGAAGTTCAAAGAACACATTACACAGAGAAATTGAGACATTTATGATAAAAATGAACAAAAGTTGGATAGAACTATAAAGGAAGGCCAAGGACAGAGTGGGTTAGAGAATGCTGGTAGTTAGCCTATTCTCCATTGGGGGTAACAGGTGTATGTAAGTAAGTAACTACTACGACTACTACTATCACTACTACTACTACTATTACTACAAATATTAATTCCTGTAACTGTTTGGTCATTTCAAGAATAAAATATGAACATAAATAATACATATGTCTTGAATTTTTGTTCATCATTACTTAAACACTTTTATTCTGATCACTTTTTAAACCAATTCGCGTGTGTCAGTATTTGCATAAAGTTTACACATTTGCTTTGTTATGTAATATTCATTGATTGTTTTTTGTTGCTTGGGTAAATTGAATTCCAATCTAGTGTTTTTTATTTAACTTTAAATTAGAATGTAAATTTCATGATGTACATTTTTATTTTACTTTTACAATTTTAACAATTCAATGATTATTAGATTGAATTGTGTAATAATGTACTAACACCTTGTTGTATGTTGGGTTAAAGCATAAAGATTACAATTGATTAATCACTGGATAGTGATCAATGTCATGTATGTTAGGTCCTTCTTAATTTAGAAATAATCGAAGTAGCATGAAATCTAAGTCCAGGAAGGTTTCCTATGAACTACCATCAGTCACCATTATATCTGAATTGTTTTTTCTTGACGCAAATGTGAATTATTCTTTCTTTCATTCTTTAAAATGTTATGTTATCATTATTGAGAACTGAATATTTTTCAGTTTTTGCTGGAATACAAGTACATTGAAAAGACAATTAAATTTTCATAGTTGAAATCATGAGTCATTTGAAGCTTAGACCACCATGGAAAACCTGAAAGCACTGGACGACCATTTCGTCCTATTATGGGACTCCTCAGTGGCAGTGCGCATCCACAATCCCGCACTCGCAAGGTTTGAACCAAGGATTTTTCAGTCTCTTGCCAGAGCACTGCTGAGGAGTCCCACAATAAGACAAAACGGTTGTCTAGTGCTTCCAAATTTTCCATGGTGGTCTAGATTTAATTAACTCATGCTTTCAACTATGAAAATAGTAAATCTCCACAAAAACCCCTTCTGAATACTGAATAAGACTAGTTAAGGAATAAATATATTCACTTATTTTTCTGATCAGACCCAGTGGGTTTATGTCTGAGGAAATCTTTGCACGGATTCAGAAAGGTTGTTTAGTTTTTGCCAACTTATATCATCTATGACGAATGTGAAATATCCGTCTATCAATTAAAGGAAGAGTATACTGCACGGCAGATCATTCTGTCCTACTTTACGGTTAAGAAACTTGGTCATTAAGAGTAGAAGATATTCGTAAGTTGCGTGTATTGGATCACAGATGTATTAGAAATATTGCTCGCATCTGTTGGGATCACCGAGTAAGTAATAGTGAGGTTAGATACAGATTATTAGGGAATGATGGTAAATTAGTTGATGAGGTCATGAATCTTCATCGACTGAGATGGATGGGTCACGTGTTGCGTATGCCTGAACATCGATTACCACGACGCGCTATACTGACTAGTATAGGGGATGGTTGGAAGAGAATTAGGGACCGCCAAACCAAAACATGGCATCAGTGCTTGAAGTCACTAACTTCTAGTCTGATCTATGTTGATAGATACAAACTACTTGGTTGAGGCACGCCTGACCATTGTAATCAATGGTTGGAGACTGTGGGTGACATGGCTCAGAATCGATCACAATGGCGTAGGTGTATACACTCTTTATCTTCCCTTAAACTATGAGATTAAAATTGCTACATATCTTTCTTTCTTCCTGTACTATATCCTTATATACAATCTTTCTTTTATATACTACCACCACTAAATGAACTACTTCTATGAATTCAGTGTTCATTTTGTTGTGTTAATGATTAAGGTATGGCAACTTGGACCAATGCATATATGTGTCTGGTCGTACGTTGTCGCTGACTGACTGACTGATATTCACTTAGTTGAATGACTAATATTATTTCTATAAATCATCAGTATGACATTTCATTTTCACAAATTTTTAATTTTATAAACCTGAATTTTTGTTTTCTGGGAAATTTGAATATTTCCACTGGTCACATTGTTCATCTTCTTGTCCTTAATGTCCACTTTTAATACTGTTAGTTTGTACTTTTAAATATTTTTTTTTTCACTATTTGTTGTTAAGTAACAATCAATGAAAAGATTTTAATCCAACTTCTATTGATATCACCTTCTATTGGGGGGTAATACATTTGTATTCAACCTGTTAGTGTTGTTATTGACAGGCAAGATTGAAGGATATCATGGTATAAGATTTTGATAATGTTAGATACAATCAATTACCATAATAAAAAACTACTGAAGTTATTTAATTTTGATTTCATTTTTCCTCCATCAAATTAACTTTACTAATTAATGCATGCTTCATGGATGAATAAATGATTATGGATAAATGTCAAATAAGATCATGAATTGAAGTCATTTCATATATCACTGTAAATCAGGAAGTACTAGGGAACTGTTCTTTCATAGTATGAGACCTTCAAACTGTGTGTGTGTCCAATGTTCCATCAGGGACCAAACCGGTAGTTGTAATTAGAAACTGTAGCTAGTGAATATCAACTGTTTCAGGTGTAAGGTAGTAACCCATCAAAGATAATGGGAGATGGTTGGACAATATGAAATTTAGACGTGAAAACGATTACAATGCCAGCTCAGTAATCCTACATTTTAAACTGTCGCAGCATATGTCCCAGAGTGAACATCAACAACTCTGAGATACAGGTACATTCAGCTGACGTGTCCCAAATAGGAAAAAACGCGCGTCAAACTGGATTCCACTGCTAACCACTATCCATCTTTGAAGTTTATATGTTTCATCTTGGATAAGATTGTTGATGTAGACTACTGACGAATCCTATACTTTCCAGTACTTCCTAATTCTCACTGTATACATTTTCAATGATTTCTTTTTGTCTTTCATTTCAGTAGTGTCTATTCATTCAGATTTTTCAGTTAAAGTAAGCTCAACATCAGGGCATTACTATCATATTGTTGCTATCTAGAAGTCTGTGTTCTTTTCGCAATCCAAATCGTTTGCTGGTATAGAAATATATATATATGAAAAGAGTTGAGGGCTCCTAGTATTCTTTGAAGTTATACAAACAATACAATCCTGTTCTCTTCTTCGCTATGTTAATTACCTTTGTGTCTTCACTTGGCAGTCGTGATTTTCATCTATTCTTATCATTTAATTACAATGCCCCTTATCAATAGTCGATTGAAACTACCTGGAAAAGAGTGTCAAACAATAAATAGGGAAAAATTAGACATCTATCGCATGATGATTGTTTACTTTTTCATTGATTGATATGTTATTTCACTTGTGATTCAATTGATTGTATTCAATATAATAAGTTATACAGCAACTACTGCTAATCTGGTTTTTCAGTAGACAGCTAATGAATCGTATAAAATGATGCTCTGATTTGTGTGAATATGGTTTCTATTCTCCCTTTCCCTTTCTGTCTCTCGCTCTGTCTCTGTGTGTGTGTGTGTGCTCCTATGAATGTGATTGACTTATGCATTTGTATTCTTTTCTCAATGGATATTGTATCCATTTACATCTTTTTATTTTGTGTATCTATCTGGATATTGATATTGTAGACTGTTGTCAAACCATTGACTGATATTCAAGTAGAAGCATTACAGAAAGCATTCAATAAAGTCGCTGGTGATGATGGTGAAATTGATGCAGATGAATTACGTGATATATTGAATTGTGCATTTACACGAGGTAAGATGTATGTAAGATATTCTTTTTTTTCTTTTTTGGTTCGATTAAAATTATCTGTTTATCTGAATTCATCAGCCAGTAATTCAGATTGTTCCTATACAAGAAACGTCGACTATTCTCTGTACTTAACCAGCTTCTGCTTAGTCTTTGATTAGTAATAAGTGAATCTTATACATAAGGATTCTCATATTTATTTTGTATTGGTGTTATGACTTGCTCAAGGTCGCTTATAATCAGATGAATATAGATATACATAATCTAGTTATACAATAAGAATATACATATAATAATAGTCCAATAATAGGTCCCGTAAATTACCTGTACTTATGTTTTCACTGGGATATAACAATTGGATTGATTGATTTGAAATTTTAGTCGTTGTAGATCGTTAGAGTTTGTAAACTTCCGAAAAAATGGGGAAAAACTTTCTACTGATTTTTATGGCTTCTATCATCTTGTTATACTAATGAGGTGTAGTGACTTGGAGCGATGCATATGTGTATCTGGTTCTATGTTGTTGCTGACTGACTGACTATCAATTTGTAGACTATTTACTATTCAACTATAAGAATATTGGAACAGTTTTTTTCTAATTTCTAGTTGTCCCATTAACTCTACTTTTTGTTCACATAATGTTCTTCGATTAATTACCTGAAAAATTCAATCGGTTACTTTGAAGTAATCAGTTTAAATTTTTCATTGATTATCGTCTATCAGATTGATGAGCAAGTCCATAGGCATCTGTACAAATAAAACATTGTTTAAATTCACTTAATATTTTTGTTTGTTTGAATCTTCCCATTGATGTTTGGGTCTGCAATTGATCAAACTCTTATTGACATATGTGGACACAGTGCGCTTTGCTTTGTGTTGGTCGATATTCGGTACTATCCCTAAGCTTCGTATGTCGTTCGTCTTGTTAACCGTTACTCGACAACGTCCTAACAATGCATAAATCAGAAGACGAATAAGAAGGGTTGATCGCGTTTATAACTGAACCACACACAGTTATCCAATATTACAGGTACGTCAAACAAGCATGAAAAAGCAGTGCCATAGAGCCGGATGAATGAGTAAGCATATACAGTACGGTGTAGCGTAATACAGAGCAGAGCAGAGAGCAAGCAGGGCAAGAGCAGTAGAGCAGTAAACAGGATTAAGATGTACATATATATATAAGCGGAAAAGCATGAATCATCGGATCAAATAAGCGATTAATAATAATGCTAGCGGAATGAATATATGCGTAGGCAGTAAGCAATGTTCAAGCGTATATAATAAAAGTATAATGGTATAGATGGGTTGTTATTGTATGAATGACTGTCCATTAAATAAGTTAACAAAAGGGCTTAGCTAAATTAGATGTAAACAAACTCAATTGTATCTGAGTTGCTATAATAGCTCCCCCCCAGCAAACATGGATACAAAATAGTGTCTGTGTTTGCGAATAAAAAAAATGTTAAACTTAACAGGACAGTAAATATCAAAATTTATGAAATTAAGATGTATGATAGAACTATCGTGTGAATTACTGCAAGTACGTGAAAGTTTGATTTCGTATATATCCGTGAGGCCAGATAAAATATCAGATCAAATTAATGTGTGAGTAATTTTAGAGGCTTATATACATTTACATTGGAATATGCAAAATTTTCTGAATATAATAATAGATAAATTAGAGTTTTCGATGTGCCCATACTAAACGAAGAGGAAAGAAATTATTAGTTCAAAATCGTAGCTATTTATCGTTGAGGCCATCTTACTCTTCGACCATATCTTGTCGTTACTGGTTTCTCTTCGTTTTTGTTCGTCGATGTCGTTGATGATTGAGACTCACGTTTCGGTGACTCGACGATTTTCGAATGATCTGTATATACTGGCTGATCGTCAGCTTCGATAAAAGCTGGTTTGACTCGGTCTATGCTAATTACATCCGTTTTTCCGGCCTTATCTATTGTAATAGTTTTATCATTTCTTCTAATAACTTTAAATGGACCATCGTAAGCTGGTTGTAAGGGACGCTGCACATTATCCCTTCTAATAAACACATGGGTACTGTCGCTCAGTTGTTTTGGTATATACACACGTTGTTGATGTTGCCTCGGAAGTGTTACTCTTAGATTACTCATATGCTGCTTTAGACGTTGTACATAGCTGGCTAAATCAGTTGGAACACTTTTACTTGAGGTGAAAAATTCTCCTGGAAGACGTAAAGTGGTTCCATAAACCAACTCTGCTGGGCAGCATCCTATATCTTGTTTAATTGTTGATCTTAAACCTAACATGACTAATGGGAGCTTGCTGGCCCAATCATTATTGCTAATAACAGATGTAAGAGATGCTTTGAGTTGCCGATGTAATCTTTCTACCATACCATTCGCCATCGGATGGTAAGATGTTGTCCGAATACGCTTGATTCCTAGGAGTTCAGTGAGTTGTTGAAAGAGGTGGCTCTCGAATTGGGCTCCTCGATCGGTTGTAATGTGTGCAGGCACACCATAATGAGAGATCCAATGCTCTACTAAGGTTTTGGCTATAGTTTCGGCCGAAATGTCTTTTATGGGTACTGCTACAGGCCATCGCGTAAATCTATCAATGCAGGTAAAAATATAACTAAAGCCGTTTGAAATCGGCAGCGGTCCTACAATGTCAATATGTATATGCTCAAATCTGCTATCAGTATGACGAAAAGGACCTATTGCGGAACTGGTGTGACGATGAACTTTAACTTTTTGGCATTTTATGCAAGCTTGCGTCCAATTACGAACATCCCGGTTCATACTTGGCCATACAAAACGTTCGCTGATTAATTTGATTGTGGCCTTTATCCCAGGATGTGATATGTTATGCATAGTGTCGAAAACCCTTCGTCTTAGAGGCTTCGGAATAAATGGTCTTGGTCGGCCCGTAGAAATATCGCACATAATACTCACGTTTTCGATTGAAGTTTCTTTTAGTACCAGAGAGGTTGTATTGTCAGACTTCAGTCTGTTTAACTCGACATCTATATTTTGTAACTCTGCTAATTCGCGATAATCGATTTCGGATTGGACGAGAGTATTTATCGTTGTTCTTGATAGTGCGTCAGCTACTTCGTTTTCTTGGCCTGTAATATATCGTATATCAGAAGTGAACTGGGAAATAAACTCTAATTGTCTGATCTCCCTCGGAGAGTAATTATCTTGCTTTGCGCTTAGTGCGTTCGTGAGTGGTTTGTGGTCTGTGTAAACTGCAAAATCTATGCCTTCTACCATATGTCGAAAATGTTTTATTGCCAAGTAAATTGCTAGTAATTCTCTTCCGAAAGTACTATATCTCGTTTGCGTAGGATTCAGTCTCTTTGAGAAGAATGAAAGCGGTTCCCATGTGCCATTCACTAACTGTTGTAAAACAGCTCCTACCGCCACATTCGATGCATCTGTCATGATAGCTAACGGTGCTTCGCTCTTTCTTCTAGCTAATGTCGTCTTTTTGTTGAGTGCCTTCTTGGCGTTCTCGAAGGCCTGTATTGCCTCTGCTGATAATTGGAATGTCCGGGAGTGTCCCCGTAACGCATCGGTCAGTGGTTGAAGTATTGCCGCACAATTCGGAATAAAACGTCTGTAATAATTTATTAGTCCCAGAAATCGTCGTAATTTCTTTCGTGTATCGGGCAACGGATAGTCTCTAATGGTATCGATTTCTGTAGAGATCGGTGTGATACCTTGAGAAGTTACCATGTGTCCAAGGAACTGTAAGGATCCTTTTCCAAACTCACACTTCTCAATGTTTATGGAAATACCATGATCTCTTAGTCGCGCGAATAATTGCCGTAGTTGCTGTATGTGGTCGTCCATAGTGGTGCTGGCTACTAGTAAATCGTCTATGTATGCGTATACTCCAGGTAAGCCTCTGATGACCTGGTCAATAAACCGTTGAAATGTTTGTGCTGCATTAGTCAGTCCGAAAGGCATGCGTAAGAATTCATATAGCCCAAAAGGGGTTGTTACTGCTGTTTTTGGTATGTCTTGTGGAGCGACCGGGATGTGATAATACGCTCTAACTAAGTCAATCTTCGAGAATACTGTAGCACCTTCTATACTGTAGGTAAAATCATGGATGTGTGGTATAGGGTATCTATCGGCCATTGTTTGCTTATTAAGTGCTCGATAGTCTCCACATGGTCTTAATTCTCCGTTCTTTTTCGGAGCCATGTGTAATGGGGATGCCCACGGGCTGTTCGAAGGCCTTATTATGCCCAGCCTCATTAACTTGTCGAATTCTTGCTTTGCTATTGCTAGCCTTTTTGGGTCTAATCTTCTTGGCCTTGCATTAACCGGTGGCCCGTTGGTTATAATATGGTGTTGTATAGTATGCTTGAGATCTGTTTTATTGTACGTTACTTTTAAAAGCTCTGGAAACTCGTTTAACAATAATTTGCGTGGGTCGTTGCGGCTCTTATCTACCACTAGGTTCATAGAAACAGATTCTGTAAGTATTCCCGTAATCGAAGTAGTATGGGTACCGTTTATGAGTCTGTGGCGCCGTGAGTCTACTAGTAAATTGAAATTGCATAAGAAATCGATGCCTATTATAGGTACCGATACGTCTGCTATGACAAAATCCCAGCGGTATGTCGCGCCTCGTCCGAAATTTAAGGATAACATTCGTTTGCCATATGTTTTAATATCTGATTTATTCGCCGCTTTTAGAACCAATGAATTGTTAAGGTTTCTTTTGTCGTCACATACTGGGGGTACTACGCTAATTTCAGCCCCCGTGTCCACCAAGAATTGAGTGCCTGTCATTCGGTCTTGTATATAAAATAGGCGGCTGTTTGAGGGCTTTGCGTTCACTGCAGGCGTTGCCATGGTCAACCGAGGGTACCGCTTACTTGCCGTGCTAAATCTACAAGGTTGTAAGCATTTTCTTGCTCTGTAACCATACATTTGATGATACCAACATATCAGCGGAGTTGCGCGTCTTCTGGAAGCTGATCGGTTTCTCTCGCGCGTGCCAAC